CTTCTGATAAAGCCTTTTGAAGAACCTTTCACCATACTTGCACTAATTTAGCAGTGCAATAATTCCAACAGGGATAGCAGACATTTCACCAATTGTTGGTGAAGAATTGGTGAGCTGGATTTTGGTGCAGGAACATTGATGCACAATTTGGAAAATCTGTATCTGACACATCTTTATGGTGCATATATATTTATACCTCAAAGACACAGATGTTTGCAACATAATCAGATGGTTTCAATATTCATACCATACCTAAATGCCCTGATAAAGTGATCATCTGGGAAGTTTTCAACAACTTTTCATTGATTTTCTTGGGACTGAATATTAAATGAAACAAAGTGGAACATTTTACATCATAGTAAATAATGTTTTAACACACATGGTGTATGGAATGAATTTGTTATTTTTTATCTTTTTGTGGGATGCAAGACAAATCATGCCAAGTTAATGAAAACATTAGTGATTGTCATTATTACATGCTATTCAAATAAAACCTTTGAATATAGAAGGCAAGATCTTTTTCAGTGTGTTATCTCAGACTTACAAAGTATCTAAAACAAAACCATGACATTGATACTTGAATCCAAAAGGCTGGCATAGCAGGCTTCTCAGGTTGCCTTGAACATATCAACGTGATATGGCTTCAAATCCAGACTGCTTGGAAAGAAGGGAAGGATTTACATGTCTTGTTCCTCCACTCGACTAACTGTTCCTTATTTCCTAATGTTGACTGCCTTTGAATTCTTTTACGTGCCTGCAGTAACAATAAATTTGGTACAAAACCACTTTGAGGACTTACAAGTTTGGGTCACATCATCAGACTTCACCATAGATCACAACATGAGGCTTCACCACAGGTTGGCAGCCACTGGAAGTCGGCATTATAGCAGGGTGCACTATCTCCTCATTGACCTTCACTATGGCAATGGAGCTCATTATCAGAGCATCTAAATGGTTAATGGGAAGAGAAAAACTGCAGTATAGTAAGCAGTTACCACCAATACGAGTCTATATGGATGATTTAACAACACCGACGAGAACTGTCCCTTGCACCAAGAGAGTTCTGGAAAAGCTTCTTCAAAACATCACATGGGCGAGGATGAGGATCTGACTCAGCAAGTGCAGAAGCATCTTCATTATCAAAGGCCAAGTTAAGGAGCCTAAGTCCCATTTTGACAGAACACAGTGACAGTGAAGAGCTTGGACCGATGACATGATGCAAAGCTCAAGGACACTAAACAATGTGAGCAACTTCAAAAGCATACCATCATGTATATAGATAGCATCAACAAGCTCATGCTGCCAGGAAAACTCAAGCTGTGATGCTTTCGGTTTGGCAGACTCCCAGGAATTATGCAGCTTCTAACAATACAGTATATGAAATTTGCATCATCAAAGTGGAAAGGTTGGAAAGAGTAATCAGCACATATATGAAAGAAAGGCTTGGACTTCCACAATGCTTAAGCCCTGTTGGACTAAATTGGAGTTACCAATTGTGAGTGTTGTGGAAGAATTCAAATTCATCAAAACAAAGCTGGTCATGACCCTCACTGAATCTGAAAATACTGTTATTCAAACAGAGGGCATGGACTCCATCTGAAGCCGTTCAGAGTGCTTAGTCTGCTCTCCACTTTAGGAAAATGGTTTGCCAAGTTTGACTTGGGAGAGCTGGTCTTGAGCTTGTCCCAGTGGCACAAGGCAACATCAGTAAAAAAAAGAGACAACTTGTGGTGGATGAGGTAAGAAGACAGGAGGTGTCAGAGCAACATGCCAAGGCCACCTTAATGGCCAAGTAGAGCCAATAGACTAGCCAGGAGAGCCAGGAACAGCAGGAACTCATCTGGTATGACATCTGGGTGATGGAGGTACCTTGGCTAAGTTTTGTCATCAGAGCCACTTATGACCCTTTTACCTAAAACCCAGAACCTGATGGGAAGAAGATTCTGCTTGCTCTCTCCATCAAGCACCTGCATCACTAAGTACAATTCTAACAGGGTGTGTTTCTTTATTCTGGTGCCTTGACTTCTGCTTTAATCAGAACCAGACTTAAAATGTTTGTTCTTAGTGATGTCACATTGCAAGGTACTATTTTATGCCACGCTTTTAGACTCCCTGTATTTTACCTTTTGAAACTACTCAATAGTGTAGTCACCCTAAGGTCTTCATTATGTTGTCAGTGCTACAGGACCATCTCTGACCATCTTGATATTGAAACCCTGAGTCCCATAGCATCAGTTCATAAAGTTTAAGGCGCCTATGTAGTAATAAGCAAACACAGTATGTCTGTTATTGTAGTGCTGTATATGTCAAGGGGTCCTTCTCTCTGTGTTGGGTTTTTATTATTTTGTCAAAAATCCAACAGTAGGAGTGGAAACATATCAAGAGGGATAGGAACAGAGCCAGAAAATATGGCAGTTAAATCTCAACACTGCTACCCTAAAGTGATATAAGAAAACAGCAGAAGTCTCCGCTCCAGCTAAAACATTATATGGACTTGCCATTTACTTTCGACCCAGCTTAATCCATTACAAGCTGTGCTTGAATTTATCACACACTTTAATCATTTGTCCTTGTATGGTCAATGTAGCTTTAGCTGTAAATCTCATTGCTGTTTTATATTCAATCGTAGCCCATAGAAAAAATACAGTGGATTTTCTCACATATATAATATATAATGATGGTTTCTGTAGAGCTATGCTCTGCCCAGCTTCTCTTTAGTCACTTTGGATTCGCTGTTCTTTATCAATAAGTTATGTGACGCTAGTGGCAACATGCAGCATTAAATTATTTATGGAGTGAGTCATCAATTAATATTTATTATAGACGTTTGTATTTTTTTAATGCCGATGTATAACTCTTCTCCTAACCCCTTATGCAAAATATTAAACTATATCAAACAATCTGCATATCGTTTGTATGTTGTAATTATGTCAGGGGAAGGCAGGTATTGAAAAGGTTTCTAGAATAGGCTCTAGAATCTATCTATCTATCTATCTATCTATCTATCTATCTATCTATCTATCTATCTATCTATCTATCTATCTATCTATCTATCCATCCATCCATCCTATCCTATTCCATCTATCCTTGATGAATTGATAGATTACAGAAGATATCTGGACAGATTTGCTAATCCTTTAGTAGATAAGACGGTTTGCCTGTAGTTCAGTTTTGAAGTACGGTTACTGAACTTGTCCTTTATGGACCCCTCTCTTCTCTATAGTACAACCCCTCTGGGAAAAACACTTACCTGCTGCCCTGCTTCAGAGATTTTTATTGTGTGGCCCCTGATCATTCCCTTGGATAGCCAAAGCTGGACATTCTGGAGCTTTAGGCCAGAGTTGCCGTTTAACCAGAATGATTACTAGAACTTACAAGTGTTACTCCTGTCAGGCCAAGTAGGAATGGGGTGAGCTACCTGTAGGAGAACCCTCCTCTCTTCTCCTTCCAAAGGCAGCTAGTCTGGGTGGAAGTGACCAAGTAGCCTGCTCAGAACAGACCTGCTTGCAGTACAAAATGCCCACTAGGAAGTGAGTGCAAACTGCCCTTCATCCTGTTTACCTGTCATGTTACGTGTCGTATGACTAGAGACGGGAAGAAGGACAAGCTGTCCTTATTCCTGAAGAAGTGCCATATTGAGCGAAGCTCTGTAAAGCAAGTGCACAGAGACTGGAGGGAGTACCTCAGCTCAGAGCTCCCTTCCCTCAGGCCCACTCTAAGAGACTTCTAGCTGTAATGACTAAGTCTGGTTATATGAATCTCAGCTGCGGAGTAGCTGAAGTCAGGGGAGGTCTGTGAGAGGGTACGGTTTCAGGGTCGAGCTCCAGGCGTCACTCTCCAACTTTAACTGAGAGTTTGGAGCTCTACCATCATATGCCGCAATTTATTTAGAGTAGGTGGTGCACATGTGTTGCCCCAGGTTATTACAGCATAACTGGTTGCAAGTTAGGTGAGATTGAAGCAAGATCAAAACAATAAGTCAGTTCCAGTAATCAGGTATCAATAGAAGAAAAAGTAACACTTCCCCTTTAAATGCTGAGACACAGGTCTATATGCGGAAGTCCATTCAGCAATTAAGTATTCTTAATACAATGTCTCTACTGAGCTGCTAGCTAAGGACAGGCTGTCCCAGACTAGCAATACTTGCTGTTGGATGTCCAAGTAAGTGGGGGTCCTCTGTTAGATGTCCAAGTAAGTGGGGGTCCTTGCGGCTCACACGTTTTCTGGTCCAGTTCCAGGGGTCAGCTGGCGTTTCACTTGCAATAGTGGAACGCCATACTGATCTCCCGGCATTTTATGTGGAAGGAGTGTGGGCGGAGCTACCCGCGTCAGAGGGCCGATGCGTTCCGCATCGGCGGATTTACTTCCGCCTTGCGGTTTGCGTTCCACTGAGGAGCGCAGCCGTGATCGTTACACTAGCTCCCAGTCATCCCACTTTAGTGGATGTCAGGGAAGTCTTCCATTTACATTAGATACTAAAAGTGCACCAGGTGTTTATAATGAACCCAGGGCCTCCCATTCAGGAATTAGTCTGGAAAGTACATTGATGTTTGGTATTCTATGTTTGTGATGCTATTTTTTTTATTTTGTGTATATTTATTTTGTAATAAATTGATTATTTCTATAATGGCTCTGTCTGCATGGGATGTGATAAAAATCTGTAGAGTCCTATAAAGAGGTTATTTTGTAATATTTTGGTATTTGCGGTCACTATAGGGCTGTGTTTGGTCACATTTCTTTTAGCCTTTTTAAAGGACATGGGGAAACCAAAAGCTTTTTCTTTAGAACAGAAAAGGGTAGGGATCTGTAACAAAGTGTGTTAATAGAGAAGAATATAAGTAAATGCATGCACAATAAATCAAAGGAATTCATGCAGTATATTACCTTTAATCACTACATGTGTTAATCAAATACAGTTATCAGAACTCTATTTTATTACAATGGCAGTCGTTAAACTGATTTCTTACATCTGTATATGACATTGTACTTTTTTTTCACAGACACTTCTAGATCTGGGTGGTTCTCCAAATTACAAGGATCGGCGAGGTCTGACTCCCCTCTACCACACTGCCATGGTAGGAGGGGATCCAAGGTGCTGTGAGTTACTGCTGTATAACCGAGCCTACATCGGCACATTGGATGAAAATGGCTGGCAAGAAATTCATCAGGTAACAATTCAAACAGGGCTGTATTTACCATAATGGCATACTCATGGGCCAACATTTAAGTCACCCAGGTTAGTGAGCAGCACCGAGCCTCAAAATGTACAAATTGTGTTAACTCTTTTTATCATTATGTTACCCTCTTAAGTCCACCTCTGGCTAAATTCAGCAAGGGAACTCTAGGGGGAAGGTGGTGTGTGTGCCTAAAAACGGTCTTACTCAAGCATTAAAAAATCCCAGAGTATGCCCTCATTTATAGCCTGATAGAACAGCTGAGGTTTGTGCAAATAAAAAGGACTGAGTTTAAAGAAATTTGTATTGGGCACATAGAGCAATTGTGTGCAGAAGCATGAATAATTATGTAATCATATAAAATATCCTGATAGTTACTACTGATTACTACTACAGCTCTTGAGTAGTTAGCTGGCTAATTAAGCTTAATTGTAATTTCCTGCAGTGCTGCTCTTTCCTAAACAACGTCTATCTTCAACTCTGGTCTTTAGTAATGTACTACATTGACTGTTCTGTGGCTGCCAATCCTTGTTTTTTACATACTCTGTTAACATCAATGACCGTGTCCTCACCGGTTGCACTGCGAGGCACCAGGGCGAGAGGCCCCATCAAAATGTTGCTTTTGAGCCCTATGATCTGTTGTTATGCCCATTGTTTGGTGGTCTGTATAGTAGAAAAGTAACCCAAGACCACATGTAGTTAGACACATTCAGCTGAACTTGTTCTATATATTGTTGAAGACTTCTCATAGCTTATCCAAGCCACAGGTCCGATAAGTGTCAGATATCCTACCATTTATTTCTGGACAGATAGCAGAACAGCTTAATCCTATATCTGTGGAAAGGCAGATGTTGATTGTCTAAGTACAGCATGGAAGGTGTGAACGGTGTGGAATCAAACTTATTCTGGTCACATAATCCCATCCTTTTTGTCAGGAAGTCTGTATAGGTGTTAAACCATCAGAAATTAAGAATTGGCTTGGATGAAGCGGCTTCAACTTTCCAGAACAATTCCAGCTAAATGTGAATAACTGCTACTAGCTATACCATGACCTGAATAAATGAGAACCTTCACAGACACTAGGGCAACATGAACAGCCCTGGCAACAACCATTGTCAACCTTCACCCAAACACATTTGGGACAGGTAAAATTGTAAGGTGCAGCAGATTGCATGGCCCACCAATTTTTAAAACCCTTCTCGACCTATATATAATACATAACAAAAATACAATTTCATTATTCCTTAAAAACATTGACATTGCCACCAAAAGCAATTTAAAGGCAGCATTCTTTAATAGTGGTTAAATCAAACAAGTCACCATTCTCAAATATATAAATAAGGCAGCTCCCTGTAAAGTTGAATGTAAATACTTGTCTCTCCTGCCCAAGCTGCCAAACATAGTCTTTTGAAGAGGAAATGTCACCCAATTCTGACTCTTCCAGAAGTGTTGCTATCTCTTGTTTCTACCTGCACTATATACTGGTTCCTCCCACTGACCTCTACACCATTACAGGACATGGTACTGATGTTGAAGTTGGTGGAAGTAACCAAGTGATGTGGGTGACATAGGGACATGTTCATCAGATGATGCCAAGACATAAAGGGTGCACTGAGTAGTTTTAAGAAATGTTTGATAGGGGGTGATGCTGTAGCTCGTGTTGCCCAAAGTGCACAGCTTAAGCATGCAATAATAGGTCAATTGGAAAGGCTAATTTAACACCTGTTTGGGTGCACTAAACCATCCACATGGAAAAGGCATAGCTTTTTAGTACTGCGACAACAGGCACGAGTCTTAGCTACAAAGGAAAGGATCAGGAGAAATGACTGAACAGATTTTTGATTATTCACTCATCTCATTACAAAGGTCTAAATGTCCACTGCGGTGATATTTTGTCGTACTGCTTTTCTCTTCCTCCAGGCGTGTCAACACGGCCACTCACAGCACCTAGAACATCTCCTCTTCTACGGCGCTGATCCCGCTGCCCAAAATGCTTCAGGGAATACAGCCCTCCATATCTGTGCCCTGTACAATAAGGTGAGCCCTGCTGCTATTAATAACCAAGGGAGACACAATTTTACTGACACGCATCATATCCAAGCCATACATCTCTATTATTTGGGAGATATTGCCTCCACGGTCATTATCATCCTTTCCACTTTTCATCCTTGTACCTGTTCATATAATGTCCTACAAAAAACATCTGTCATCTGGGCATTTGTCATTCCGCTCGAACTGACTATCCAAAAGAAAAATAAATCTCATGTACAAGTACCACGCTGCAGTGCCTCAAGTGGTAACACATCGAAAACACAGTACAAATACTAATATTTTAGCAGACAAATTACATATTTCAGGCATATTATTTGTCAGACGTATCTGAGGGCTTTTCACATTGTGCTGGAATAAATTTACATTATATTTTCACTACATAATAAAGCCCCAAATCACCAACATAATGACCCGCAGAATGAAGTAATATTGTTCAGCATCAGAGATGTTATAGTGCTCTTCTTCTCGCTGTCATTATTCTTTATTGCATTTCAGTTTATGCAACTGTACAGTTATAAAATGTTGATGGATCTATTTGATCAGAGGCTAACATTTATCATTACTAGTTTGTCGCATAGCTTATTCGTCTAGCAGAAATGCATTTACATTCCTTCTGTGCAAGTTAACCAGCTGTTGTGAGAATGGGGTAAAAAAACGAATGTTAGTGTAACATCTCTTTTGGTCAAACGTTTATCTATTGCACATAAGTCAATGACTATGCACGTGGGCCAGAAACAGCCCGCCAAGATTTTACTAGGCCCTCCAGTCCCGAGCTTTGCACCACTGCAAGCAAGGTTAATTTTTTTTTCTAGCCTGCGCTTAGGCAGAAAAAACTTGAAATGGCAATACAGCTGGCCGCCCTCTGAGGACTATGCACCTCCCTCCTCGGCCACACCTCCCTCCTGGCCCGCAGAATTCTCCTCGCCTGCACTTTCCTCCTCGCCTCTGCCTCTGGTCTCAACAGCTCCAATAGGTTCCACTGTGTGTATCCGGGACTGTCTGTGGCACTACATTTAATGGACAGGGACTGCTGACACATGTAGTACCCTCACAAACAGGACAGAGGATCCTTATGAGTCATGCTGTGGCGCTTCTTCCTCTCCTTTTTGTTCCTTCAATACACAAGTTGGAAACCCCCGTCCGTACACATTAGAAGCTGCACACCAAACAAACACCAGCCAGGCCCCCTGTCCCCCACTATAAAACATCCACCCGGCGAGCCATGTAACTTTGGACCTTCTTCCTCAAAACTTTCTACTACAAGTGTCAGCAGTCCCTGTCCATTATATGACAATCCTGGTGTCCTGTGTGTGAGGGCACAACAAGTGGACCAGGACTGCTGACACTTGTAGTGCCCTCACACACAGGACACCAGGACTGTCATATAGTGATTATGGACCCGAGCTTTGTACCGCGGCAAGCAGCAGGGTTAATTTTTTTTCTGCTTTGTGTCCAACCCCTGTTTTCAAAATCAGGGGATTTTATCCCCTGATTTTATTTTAATCCTTGGCATGACCCTTAGAAAGTTTGGATTTGACACTCCTGATCTATAAGTATGTTCATATAGAAGAGTGAATCAGGAAAATGCCGCATTTTGGCCACTAGCTGAGGATCATAAAAACTAAATACATATTAATAAGGAGATAAAATGTTACAATTCGAGAGACTGCTGGAGCATATAAATGTAACCATTGCTATCCCCATAGTATCAATGGTTACATTTATGTGCTTATACTTTTACCCCATGCTTGCCAGTCTTTAGATGTGGTGTTTGCATTAGTTTTCTTTGTACAGTTTTTTTCTTTTTTGCTTCATTTTCACCTGGTGATCCTGCCAATAACACACTTCCTCTTATATGGTGACAATGCTCACTCAATGCACTATATCTTTCCAGGAGCAGTGTTGCCACCCTAGGCTTGCTCTCCTGGTTTGGAATATAAACCCCTGGGAAGGCTGATAACAATGTTTGAGTTTTTAGTTCCGCAGACAGGAAAATACAAGGACTTCTATCAGGATCTACAGGTATTTTTGTGTACTTGCAGAAAATGTTCTTTAGAAAAAACAATCACCCACATCTAAGGCCTTATGAACTGAAATATATTAAATTTTTGTTCTTGGGTTTAGATGTACTTTATTTCATTGAGGCCCCTCCACACCTTTCCTAAAATAGAGGATTCAATAAAAAAGCAGAGCTCAGAACAATTCTTCTGTTCCAGCAGCCAGAGACCCCAGACTTGCAGTTCTTCCATTGTGTTTACATCCTTTTTGGTCTGTACTAGCTGCTTACTTTTACTTGGTCAGTTACTCACCAGGATCAGGATGACAGCTCTGGAGCTTGTACCTTCAAAAAGAAGTCAGCAATGGCAACACCCATATTGTTCTCCACATAGGTTGACTTTTGAACCTGACAAATAGTAATTAAACAGGTTCTGTTAATTAGATTCATTCAGAGATGAGCCTGCCTTTAATTAATGTAATGGACTCAATTCACAAAGTTAACCCACCAGGATAGGTATGCCTATTTTCAGAATGACGGTCACATGGCCCTATCTTTGTGTCAGAGCTTTGTGTATTAAGTCTCTAGTATGCAATTCATATACTGTATATCAGGTTTTTAAAGGTACGGGAGCCATCCTAGTGTCAAGCAATATTTTGCTACTTATAGTAGACTTACTGTCCATTACAATGTAACTAAAGTAAGGCTCCTCGGTCCAGTTGATGGAAGTTGCAGTAATCTACTTCCTATCCTCCCTCAGCTAAAAATGGCTGGTAACATAAAATTGCCGTAACCCTTACCAATACCCTGATGTCAGGAGTAGAAACATAGAATGCTCATGTCCCGTATTTGTGGGTTGAGGCCTAGTGCAATAGGCAGCTCAACCAATTTTGAATGGGGAGCTTAAGGTAATGCAATGCACCTGTGTGCTATAATACAAGTATATTGCAGCACACTGTGATTGTGTTGGGATGCAGTTAAAGTATATGTAGAGCCAACATTTTTTCTTTAGTTTTAGATAAGGTAGGGAAGGGTTTTCACACAGAGGAAGGATCCATCTCTGCAGCACGCTGACAGGGGACAGGCTTTTCTACCCAGGTTATGGCTCCTGTAAACGAAAACAAACTGTAAGACATTGCACAACCTTTTTATGCCCCTGGAATGTATTTAGCTGATTTAAACTGAAAATTCAATTGGCCTTTTCATTTTGATCACAAATACACAACAAATGTGTCGGAGGTGAAAAGGTAAATTTGGGTTTTAATATACATATTGTGATGTAGAAAGAAATATCTGCAATAGTTTGCTAAATAAAGATCTGTTGATTATAAATAAGAAATAAGTGTTTACTTTTTAGCTGAGTTTCACATTAAATAAATTACATTGTTCTTTAAAATATGTTTTATGGCAGCAATAATCCTTGCAGTGCGATATCAATTATGCACGATGGTTCGCTTCATGAAAGAACAAAGTGTGATTTCTGTGTTTAAGTTACGTCAAAGAAAATCACAGCCGAGCTGATTTTGTTTATTTACAAAGTAATAATTTATGCATCTATGAGTTCTATGAGGGTTACAGGCGAATACAAATCACTGCCATTCTGTTAATTGTACAAGAGGTAAAACATCAAACAGTGACACAAAGGACTTGGAATAACATAGTAACAGGCCAACACATGAAAATCAATATGTTTTCTGCAGCCTGGTGTAGGTATTCTGATGAAAAGTCACGTCTCATTGGTTGGAAGCAGAGAGAAGAGTTCAGTAAGATATAGTTAACCAATGGGATTTCAGCAGTAGGACTTGGAATAACATAGTAACAGGCCAACACATGAAAATCAATATGTTTTCTGCAGCCTGGTGTAGGTATTCTGATGAAAAGTCACGTCTCATTGGTTGGAAGCAGAGAGAAGAGTTCAGTAACTTATAGTTAACCAATGGGATTTCAGCAGTAGTCATTTTCAGTTTGCGGGAGGTTCAAAGAACTTCTCAAAAATGTGTAAATTGCAAACTTTAATGTGATCCCTATTGAAGTCACAATAAAGGAGACACCTGTATGTTTGCACTCCCGGACAGCAATTGAGATGTGCTGTGTGCGTCTATTGACACACAGCACTCGACAAGCCATGCCATATTTCATGTACCGCGGCCCCCTCCTGTTTATGGGTGTCTCCTTTGCCTAGCAGCTTGCAAATGAGACACCTGCACGTGCGCGCTTCCGGACCTTAGACTGCTGCAGTAGAGATGGAGAGAGGCTCCAGGGACCGGTCTAAGAGCAGGCCGGCTCAAACAATCAGGTGAGTATAACTCTTTTTTTTGTTTTTTGTTTTTGTTCCCTAGACACAAACAAGCACTTAACCCCTGCAGTGCTGGGCTGGCCCCACTGCAAGGGTTAATAATTTTCCCTGGAGTTCTGCTTTAAAACTTATAATAATGTTATAGCAAATAAACTTTCTGACTTCAGCATAATAGTTGTCTTCTGGATGGCTTTATTAGTTCACTGCCTGCAGTTGCTTACCTTTGTGTGTGTATTATTTTGTATCTTGCTACAGGAAAGTTGTGCCCGAGTATTGCTGTACCGCGGAGCAAGCAAAGATATCAAGAATCACATTGGCCAGACCCCATTCCAGGTGTGGACCTCTTCCCATTCATATGTGTGATATTTGACCTCATGTCATTTCATGTTAAACAATAATACTTTTATATTTGTTTCTGTGAATGTACTGTGAATGCATTGGATATATTTGCTTTAAAAGAAGAATTTTCTCCCCTAGGCTGCACAATTTATAAGAAAATGCTGTTTGATTATATTGAGCAAGTGTTTAAAGTGAACCTGCAAACACCTTAAATCTCAAGTTTAATTGGCTTGTATTTGTATTTAATTTTTTTTGTGGTTCCCCACATTAGACTCATTGATTACTATCATCACTGGATTTCTGGGCTTTTCTATGCAATGCAAGCAGATCATGGCTGGTGGGAGCAGACGGAAGAGTGCTGGACATAGCTTCCTGAAAACATCATAGCCCTCAGTCCTGATACAAGCAGTGGCTCTTAGTAGGAGTCAGGCAAATATCAAAATGCGTTAATGGGTGGATTTCAGTCTGAAGGATTAGGAGTTCATGGGACGTTGTTGCTCAGACCACTCTAGGTAACACCCACATGTGATGCTGAGCCTCCATGATGGAAAGAACTGAAATCCAATGAATGAAGGGGATGGACCAGGGACAGTTAGGCTGGGGAGGAAAGTGCTAGATATACTGCAGAGTTGGGCTCTGTCTGACTTGCTGCAGCTTCCAAAGCACATTGAGAAGCTTGTAGTGTGTGGAGAAACCAAAATAAGCAATTCATGTACAGAAAAGAAGTCTGCACAGTTTTTGTAAGACTGAAGGCAAGGCTGGAGTTGAACTCTAAAGTGGTGGCAGCAAATAAATGTACACAAATACCATGAGATGCGCCCTATGCTATAGGACAACAGAGTCAAACTTAAAAGGACCCAAGGATTACTATTCTGCCTCCGATTGTTGTATTAGCGATGTATCCCTTGCTGAGACCTCTATGCCTGGTCTATATAAGCAGATATAATCACTGCGGACAATCCTTATCAGGTAGCTGAACTCACCAAATGCCCTTTTTCCACAAAAGTGCTTTATTGATTGCAGCAGGTTACAGCAGACAACAGGCTGCAGCAGATGATTCAACAGACAGTATTTGCAGGTCAAAAGATGGTAATGTTTTCTCCCATGCGAGCATACAAACATGTAGCCATGAGACATGCAGCCATGATACCAAAAAGACAATACAACAGGAAAGGGGCAATACATCATAAAATGGGAGGGAATACAGAAAAGATGGTGCTATAACCAAAATGACCACAATATGGCAGTATATTAACCATCTATACTAGTGCCAATGACAATGGCTTAAGGAAAATTAAATGTACATTTTCAATACAAAAGTAATATGAATATTAACCATTAATATGCATTGTATCATATTTTCATACAACAGATGTAACATCACAGTCACATTTGTATCCACAAAACGAGTGGAGGATTACACGGTGGATCTCATTTATTTTCCTATTCAAAAATATCATCCAATACCCATATGTACAAAATAAAACTAGGAAAAGACAAGCAATAAAAAAGGTATGCAGCCCCTTTTCAGGAGGATGCTTTCTGAGAGACTCCTCTGTATGGCAATAATGCACTGCCAAAGACACGGCCATGCAAGGGTGTCTTAAAGGAGAACTATGAGGTGAGTGCTTTTCACTCATCCTCATAGATCTAGCCGACCTGTGACAATGAGACTGTCACAGGTCGGCTCAGTAGATCGGGAAGTGAGCTCTATATAGGCAGAGCCAGCTGTCACTCACGCAGCTAGGCGGATCCAGACATACAGTGGCAGCAATAATACTTACCTTTCCTTTTCACTGGAGTCATTGTCAGCAATAGTAAACCCTGTTCATTTGTTTGAGTATCCACAATAATAATCCCCAGCACTGGTGTCACCGGCAGCAATAGTAGCCCTTGCCATTGGTGTTCCTAGCAGAAATAGTAAGCCCCTCCTTCTTTGATGTCAGTGGCAGTATCAGCAATAATAATCCCCTGTTCATTGACATTCAGTGGCTATTTAACTGATTATGCTCTTCTGCGCTATTTCCTCCTTCCCTAATGACTAGGGATGCATTGATACTGGTGTTTCGGTATCGAGTACAAGTACCGATATTAATTTTTTTGGGTACTCGCTATTACCGCATACCGATACCGGAAGTGCCATTAAGGCAGCACGCGGCGTGTAATGACTCGCCACCTGGCTTCCTGATTACCCGGGAAGCCGGGCAGTGTGTAAAGACTCGCCACCCGCCTTCCCAATTAGCAGGGAAACCGTCGCCATGTTTCTCGTCACTAGGTGATGAGAAACCATGGAGTCGGCTTTCTGGCCAATCAGGAAGCCGGGTGCTGTGTAATGAGGTGTCAAGGGAGCATGAAGTTCACATATATTTCCTTGGATAAAGTGTATGTGCATTTTCAAACAAAGTGCTCATTTTTTTTGCCCCGTTTCCCAGGCCTAACCTAACCCAACCTCCCTCTCCAGTGATGCATACTTACCTTGCACCAACAGCTGTGGCCTGCAGTATTTATTTGTATCCAGCACGGCAAGTCTTCTCTTTCCTGCCTATTACTGCACCATAGATTCCTATAGATTTGTGTCCCCAGGCTAGAGCTCAAGGAAGATGGTCCCATAGAGGTCTATAGGGCTGTAATGCAAAGGGGCGGCCATGACAGTGAATACTTGCAGCTCTGAATGTAAACAAACAGTGGAACTGATCAGCTTCTCTTTTTCATTTTCAAATCTTAACTGAACAAATTGAAGAGAGAAGCTGATTGGTCAGCATAGGCTACTGCTCCAGAATTTGTCTGCACCAGTTTTGACAAATTCCCCTCACTGTGTTTCAAAATGTACTTGTCCTTTAAAAATGATGACATTTTATCTGTCTCTATTATATATAAATAATTAGCCCAGAACACTAGAGAAAATTATGGTTTGCAATATCATTATGAGAGTCTTAAGCCATGGCTGATTCGAGATTTCATTTAGTCTAATACACTATATGAGACATGGCCAAGGAGAACGGACATAAAACTAATATCCTGACTGACTACAAGATTAATTACACCATTATCAGATGAATGATCCTTGGGCTGAATTATTCATCCCGGTCTATGCAAATAAACAAAAGCTGTGTAGTTATTTGGGGTTGTGAAGTTTGCAGCCACACAGAAGTCGAGATACCAAATAGTGATGACTGATGAATCTGCCTGGGTTCGATTGGCCATGGGTCTGGCATATTTTGTTTGAAATTAAACAAACCCAAATTTAGAGGTAAATCCTGTTCAAGTCTAGCAAGGAAACATTAAAATTACTCAAATCCCTTAAAGGAGAACTATGAGGTGAGTGATTTTCACTCAACCTCATAGTTTGAGCCGATGGGTGACAATGAAACTGTCAAACGTCGGCTCAATAGTTCGGGAAGTGAGAGAACACATACCGTCGCTCACTCACTTCTCGATCATGTCCCTGCAGAGAGCCGTGACTGTCACTCAGGCTCCCTGCAGGGATTCCCCCCCTCCCCGCTTCAATCCTCCAGGGCTGACTGGCGGAACGAACAGGGGAGGGGGCGGGTACAGCTGGCTCTGCCTCTAGATAGGCAGAGCCAGCTGTCAATCAAGCAGCTGAGCGGATCTCAACAGTAATGTCCGGATCTGTCCCGGCTGCGACAGTCTCAGTTTATGTCCCGTGACCCTTAGGAGAACTATGGGGAAAATCACTGACCCCATAGTTCTCCTTTAAATAAAATGGTTATGGGATGCTTTAAAGCTGTATGCTATGTTATGAAAGTGCATTTTTTACAGAGAGCCTCAGCGACAGCGTACAACGGCAGCGCATATGTTAAGTCTTGCTTTTCGGTCGTTTTATTAGCAACACATGTTTTTTTTTATCAAACGGTAATAGATCCACTTTAACTGACAGATAGAAATTGGCTAGGAGTTCACGGTGGCTGTCCCTTTGGCTCATGCAAAACGGTCCTGCATTTAATCAATTTCTATCAAGCTATTAAAAGACCATAGATGATACAGCAGTTTAAACCTGGACAGCAGCAGGACAGTTTTAATGAGCAAGACTAGGCCCACATTTACTATACTCAAAGAGCACAGGCTGGGATTTTACTACAAGAATTGGGATCCTGCAGAAGATACAGCAGAGTAAAATTGCCAGTAGCAGGAAGTTATTGATTAGGGATAATAGTCCAAAATGTCCTAAAGACTAACAGTACAGAAAGGTGTTTTGCTACAAGAATTAGGAAATGGCAGATTATACAGTACTACAAAATTGACCGGCAGCAAAATTTTAATGAGCAAGGCTAAACTCAAATTTACTAGAGACAAAGAGCACTGGTTAGAGTTTTGCCACAAGAATTAGAATACTGCAGAGGGTAAAATTGACCAGCAGCAGGGCAGTTTTAACCATAAATAATAGGTCTAAGGGGTGTATGCCTAACTTTTATTGCATCTATATAGGAGGGTGCGGTAAATGGTTTATTTTTTCTTTGAAACAAAGCAGGGGCATGCTTCTAACAAAAGGCAGCTCCAAGAAAAGATGGTTAGTAACAAGTGAAAGCTCTACTTTGAGCTTCACAAACTAAAAAAAAGTCTTTATCAACATAAAGTAAAAAAAAAAACACAAAATACCACCCCCTTAAACAAAAATCAATTTTTTTTTTTAAAAGGAAAGCCTTGCAGCAAGAAAAACAAAATAAATGGGACAGCAGCTAAAAGTGATTGCTGACCTCAAATTAACCAGTAAATAAAAGAAAAAAAGGCTCCAATAATAAGAACGAAGAAGGCTGAAAAGTAATTGATAATTAGGGAGATTTTTGGGTGAGTTAGGAAATACACTAAAGTCAATCTTCTCTATGGTTATCCTATAACAATTTCCAGTTCACTAACAATATGGCTGCCCTGTGCCTCCCCTTTTATTGTGAAGATGCTGGATTAACCAATAGTCCTTCTAAGCCTGTTGGCCATAGTCCATGCAGTACATTATGGTTTAAAAAATATATATTGTGGGAGATTCTGTGCATAATTTCACTGGGACCATGTGACTCTGAACCTCATCCCAACCATCCAAACCAAGTATGCAGGGAGTTGTAGTTATTTAGTTTTCAACTGATTTTTTTAAAACTAAATACCTTGATTCATCTTTCTTCCACAATGTTTCCTCTTTTTGGCCTTATGTATAGATCTCTATAAATAATAATAACCTTCTTTGCGCTTCCTTGCCGTTCTATACTTCCACAGACCAAACATGACGCTTATACAGGTTGATGATCATCAATCCTCATTACATCCTCCTTATGTGACAGTGTTTGAATCTGGTGATTGGCCCTAGACCCAAGCAGTACATCATGCAAGAAGGTCACATGCCCCCCCCATCCCTGGAATCACGGGGTATTTTGTGGCGGCTCTGACGGAGCCACAGAGTAGCAGTGGTTCTGTCTGCCACCGTTTTAATAGACCGGACGTGAGGAGATATCTCCCAAATGTAGTCAAGAACAGACATAAAAACCTACCATACGTACTATCCCTTCCACACCCTATCCAAAACTAAAAACCATGTTATATTGCACTAAGCTATTCACCCAATCTCATTCTCTAAGTTGCTGTATTTGTTATTTCTTAACACTAGTATAAAGCAATTGTCCACCATGACGTAGTAGCGTGGCAAGGATTTGTCATACTGGGGGTGATTTACTAACCTAAACACAAGCACGCACTAGGTGCGTGTGATTTTTACACAGCAAAACGTATTTATCAACCAAAAAGTCTCTAAAAGCATAATTCCACTAATGGCATATATAGAAAAATCATGCACATGATGCATATATAATGCTGCTTCACAGTTTAGACAAAAATGGTTGGCTCATGCATTTACATTCCTGCATTCATCAACGCAAGCAACACAACGTAGAGCTAATTTACACAACATCACCTTGCAATTCATGCAGAGCTTTGCATAACACACCTGCTGGGTGTGTACACACTACAAAGGTGTCTAGATTACACCAATAGATCATGCTGGGAGGGAACACACTACAGAGGTGTATACTTGTTCGTGGCGTGTTTATAAGGTTAGTAAATCAACCCCACTGTGTGCTAAAATGTGTCCCTCTTTAGTGTCTTGGATAGTTGGAGCATATTATAACTTCGCAGGAAGGTTTGCATGTTGGTTATTTGAGGCCTTAGCCCTTAAAGGACAGTTCCAGCCTATTGGCTATATACACATAGTCAACATTTAGGTACTAGCTGTTGTACCTGGCAAAAACATTGTTAAGTATAACACATACACTTATAATTCACTTGCCCCTGCTGTGCTGTGTAAATGGTGTAATAAAAAAAATATGCAAATATTATGGATGCACTCTATAAGAAATATCTCCAGTCGTAGACATAGAATGCTAGTGCCACCCAGTGGGGATTTTCTAGATGGATGTCTGCTTTTGGAATTGCACTCTTTTTTACAGTATAGTTTCTTGCATGTGTCTGTTGGCGGCAACAGCACAGTGTGACCGCCTGATGTCAGCATATTTGTCATGTGACTTTTGGACCCCTTACCTGTTTACCTGATATGAAGAAACACACTAATACCAAATTGTTAGCAAATAAAGCAAGACTTCCTGTCTCCTCCACTTTATTAAAAATGCATAAAAAATAGACAGAGGGTTCTACTGTAATCATCTGTTCCATGCTGGGTCCTTCCTACCTTTAAAAAACCCTTCAGGGTTGACGATGAACAAAAGTGTTAACATACTCACTCAGAGGCATCAAAACTTGAGGATTTGACTCTAAATAGAAATTATATTATTTGTACTGTGGGATTCTGGGAGATTCTCACATGCCTCTGGCCATGCTGCCATCTTTAAAGTTCAACGCCAGACATATAAAAAACAACCTAAAATGTTGCTGATCCATTAACGATCATAATTTTGGTTTTTTTTTTTACTTACAAAATTGATTTAGGTACAATAAAAAAGTTGTTCCTAAAAGTGATGTACTTTGAGGGATAGACCCTTAAATGACAAATGCACAGGGGCCTCCTTATCTTGCACATGTATGCAGGATGAAGAGGACCTGGTGAGGACTGCACTTGGGGTGGGGGACATGCATGGTTCAGTGTACTGGAAAAAAAATCCTGAATGGCAGCAAAAAGATGTTATGGAAGAAAAGATTTACACAGTCTCCTCTGTCAAATAAAGCCTGCCAATCGGCAATTTTGTTTTTACTTTAACAAATCTTTTGGCAAATAACAGATCCTATTTTTTTTTTTTAAATGAGAAAATACAGTAGTGTTTTGGCAGAATTAATTGTTTATCATTCCTATTCAGCTTATCATTCCTATTCAGCTTATATTAGCATTGCCCTAAACATGTTTGTTATAAACAGAGTTGGATTTTCTTGTATATACAATGTTTAATTTCCTCTCCTCAGCCCCTGGCTTTAAAATTCTGCATAATTCACAATTATCATATACATTTCAATACACATTTTTTTCTCCATTGCAGCAATCATTAAGTATTAAAAAAACTACAACTAGAGCGTTTTTTCAGTAATGTTATTAAATTAATTTCCGATCTTGTCCTCCTTTGCTGTGTCTTCCATTTACCTTCAACATAGATCAATGACTTCATGTTTCATGACTTGTTCCTCCTGCAGGTAGCCGTTATTTCAGGAAATTTTGATTTGGGGGAGTTAATAAAGAGCCACAGAGACACCGATGTTGGTAAGTATCTACTACTAAATATAAGCGTGTGTTTGTGTGTATATATGTATGTATATGTGTTTGTGTGTGTGTATATGTGTATGTATATATATAATATATATAGTGACATAAGGAAAGGGGAAATCATCGAGGGGCGATATATTTCTCCTCGATTTCTCATTTGTGAACATCTAGTTTTAATCCAGACCGGGTTTTCAGGGTAACTTTGGGTCTGTGTAATCTGAATTGGATTTTGTGCCTCACTTGTAATTGACTGGACGGGGAGATATTTTCTTGGCACACTTTGGGCCCATGATGCTATTATATCAATGTGGACCAAAATCTCTGAGCAATGTTTCCAACACCTTGTTGAATCTATGCTACAAAGAATTAAGGCAGTTCTGAAAGCAAAGGGGGGTCCAACCCAATACTAGCAAGGTGTACCTAATAAAATATATATATATTTTTATATATATATCATATTAGAGAACCTTAAAGATCTCAGCTTCTTGGTCCACTTTTCGTTCATTCAATTTGGTGGGCCTGGTTCACGTGTTCTTTCTTTTCTTTTTTTTTCATTTGACTGACCTGTTTCCTGTATATTTTTTGTTTCAAAATTCACGAAAGTAGTCTAGCATATAGGCAACCCAATGGTATCCCAGTTTAAAGGTCCTGTGAGGAGGAGAAGACTTTGCTTCTCTCAAAGCTCCTTACCAGTACATGCACAGGTTTGTCAGAATGCAGGAAGGAAATTTGTGCACAACTTACCTTTTTCTGGATGAGGTGGGTACTGGAAAAGGAGAACCTTATGTCCATTTGCTTGAAGCAAAATAAGGTTTTCCGCTATCATTTACCCTATAAGAAGTCTCTTTTTTTTTTGGCTGGAGAAAAAAAAGCTCTTCCACTTTTATTGAATACATCAATCTCAAAAACAAAGTCTTTGTAGCATCTAAAGTCCATGAGAATCTGAGAATCATGAACATGGGTGTAGTTTCCATGCTGCCAATAATTAGTGACTTAGTTTATTCAACAGTAAACATGGTGCCAAGCAGTGTTACTGAGTTTACTATTAAGTAAATAAGACTGACAACATATGCATGACAAACATGACTGCAATTGGAACAGGTTTACTTTCATGGTGGGTCTTTGCTGCTGTTCTAGAACCCATGAAGGAAATGTCTTTCCTGTGCTACATTTGTGGCTGCCTCTTGTTATGGACCTAGGCAAATATATTTCCATGGAGGATCCACTAGTGCAGGGGTGTCAAACTCAATTTAATCATGGGCCGCATCAACATTATGGTTGCCCTCAAAGGGCCTGTAAGACTATATAAATGTATCTAATCTTTATCATAATTGCCTCTGAATTCGATTATCACTGGTTTTAGTAATAACTTAATACCTAGATCTGAAAGTAGAAGTCTAGGAAATGGCTTGGTGGGCCAGATTCGGCCCCTGGGCCTTGAGTTTGACACATGTGCACTAGTGAGTGATATTTCTGTAAAGTATTCAAATATAGTACATAGTTATTATTGGCCAATAAATATCAGTTAAGATACTTCCCCAAATGTCAGATCACCATATTATCTTTGATGAACAAATCACAGAATAGATCATCTGTAAAAAAATAAGTCAAGGCAACTGGACTTGCTATATTGTTCTTGAAGACATTTCACTGGTCATCCCACCAGCTTTCTGAATTCAGAATTGAGAAAGCTGGCTGGATGACCAGTGAAATACCTTAAATAAAAATACAGCACGTCCAGTTGCCTTGACTTATTTTTTTACAAGAATACCATGACCTGGATGAATGAGAGCCTTCACAGACACAGAATAGATCAGTTTACCCACAATTGATGGTAGTGATAGCAGCACAATCTTACCTGTGTATTGGTAACTATTCTGACTCCGATCATTGTGATAGCGAAATATATCCCTTGCTGAGACCTCTATGCCTGGCCTGTATAAGCAGATATACTCACTGCGGACAATCCTCGTCAGATAGCTGAACTCGTCAATACCGATTCATTCAAAAGAGGTGTTTATTCTTTAACATCAGGTTACAGCAGATGATAGGAACAGCAGTTGAACGGTTATAGTATTGTGCGGTCAGAAAATGATGCCTTTCCTACGTACTGTGCAGATTACATGTGTGTCCTTGTTACATGTGGCTTCTAACTGTGGCCATGACACAGGAAGTAATGTAGGCTGGTAATAATAGCTTATCTAAAGAAGCCAGTTAGGTTTCCTCAGGCATGCTGGGAGATCTTGCAGACAGGGTCATGGGCGCAGTGAAGGGCTAGTAGCAGATTGAACCTTCCCACTTCATCCAATCTGTTTTTTTGCAGTTCTTTTATCTGTGGGCACCTAACTTCATGTCCTTATTGTGCTCCTTTCACCCATCCTTAGTTATCCATCTTTTATTTTTTTACAGTACCCTTTCAAGAATCTCCTTCCTATGCCGTCCATCGCAGAGAAAGTGGAAAAGCTCTCTCCGTTCCCCATGTTCTTCTCCGTGCCAATAGCGACAACAGCCTCTCACTGCCTGACTGGATGGTCTTCTCCGCATCCACTGCCAACACTGTCACTCTGCAGGGACAAAAATCCTCAGGAGGAACTCTACGAAGCTCCAGTAGCCCACGAGGGGCTCGAAGCCGATCACCTTCACGAGGTCGCCACACGGAGGAGTCAAAGAAACAGCCACGTGGACGCCCCAGGTAGATTTAAATAGATGACAGTTAAAAAATATACTGTATTACTTTTTTTTTTTACAGGTTTTTGAAAGGATAATAGTCATGACTCATTTATATAGTTTGTCTTGTTCAGTACCTAAAAGTCAATATTTGAATGTTTCTTTTAATTAAAGGGTTGTTAAACCCTCCGGTGTTTTTGCATATATCTATGGCTAGCAAGCAGAGATAAATATATATATATAAGATCCGGTTTCAGGCAGATGCCGCTGCCCCAGATCGCGCATGACGGGGACCTCGGCAGCCGCATCTGTCATTGCCTTCTCCTCATCCTCCGGCTCCCTGACACCATGCTGCATGCCTGCGGACCCCTGGGGAGACACCATAGCCCAGACAGCCCACCTGGGAGTGTGCATAGCCCAAAAATCTGTCTCCTCTATATTCTAAAAAAAAATTGCTGTGCGCGGCACTAGAGTGTTCGGGTTTCACTTGAAGAAAAGGTGGCACCCTAATTCCCATACAAGTCTATGTAAATGCAGAACCTGCTTAAAGAGGGTTAGAAAGAGGTCAGCTGCAAGTCAAATGCTCCCTTCCATGAATTCTTAATGATCTCAGAACCTTTTCTGATGACATAGATACAAGCCCAAAGCTCGCCCACACAGGCTATTACACATAAGGCCAGCATGGAGGCCTTCTAATGATAAAAGCAAACGGGTATTTTATTTAAAAGTGATACTAACAACATTCCCAGCTGATGTTAAAGTAGATAGATGTTGAAGTGCTGACACCTGTATAAAGAGATATTTGACATTTACATGACTGCTGTGCAGCCTTTTAGACCTATTGGAAAAAATAACAGTTGGTTGTCTGCTGTGTCATTACCGGATTGAATATCAGCCATATATTTGGAAATATTGGTCTACCACTACAGATAACTTTTGTAAACGGATACTGCAGTTCAGTAGAAGAGCTTTGATATGTGATTAAGTTCTAATCCCCTCCACATCTGATCCCAGGCCGGAATATATTAGTAATGATTGAATTAATCATTATAATATTAAAGGAACTCTGTGGCTGAAATCAAAATCAAAACAAATCACTCCTGTACAAGAATAAACGTTAAACTTATATGGCCTTGTACTGGCTTGTAGAATCTTTGCTTTGTTGCAAAGCCAACTGAAGAATTTTCACATTCAACACCTATATGGGTGTCCAGATGCTTGAGTTCCCCTACTGTGTTTTTTTGTGGTTTCCTTTGCTGGTCCTTACATCATGTCCTATAGTGATGTAGGAGCCACTAGGAGGAACCAAATAATGCTGCCAGAAATATGCACTTTTTTCCTCCCTTGTACCACTGTTCTGCTGCCTGGAATGAGAAAAGGAAGCTTTGTACAAGTTCTGAGTTGGTCTAGCTGGTGTTTCCACAGGGCTTTGGACTCCCTCTGTCCCAAGTCACACTGGGACAGTCATCAAGCTCCAGCATCATCACATGGATAACATGCTCCTCTATACCCATAGGTATCAGATATTTCCATTGGTTCTTGGCATCTGACAGAGCAGGAAAAAAGTAGTGTGTGCTCCTGGGGATATGAGCATTAAAGGGAACCTGTTGCTTTGTTCTGCTTGGTAAAAGCAACATATGCATACTAGTTTGTGACTACATTAGAATGTGTGACCGGTGACGTGGTCACACGTTTTAACGTAATCCCGTCCAGTTTTTTTCTCGGTGGAATGTGTGACCGCCAATCAGGGAGGCGGGTAATTACCAGCGGCCCAGCTTCCTGATTGGCCGGGAAGACAGCTCCATGTTCCCTCGCGGCACTGCTGGTCAGGGGAAATCTCCAGTTCCAGTATCAGGATAAGTACGAGTACTTGCCCAAATACTCGGTATCGACACCGATACTAGTATTGGTTTCGCTGTATCCCTAATACCAATAATACATTAAACAAAAAAGTTGTATGTTATAATTTAGTAGTCACCAATTCTTCCTTTTATCTCTTTCAGTTCCAGTGGTTCTACTAAAGAGCCCCCTGCTGGTGGGACTGTGAATCAGCGCATGAAGCGGAAGCTCTACTCAGCTGTGCCAGGTCGAACCTTTGTGGTCATAAAGCCGTACCAGGCACAAGGCGAAGGAGAAATATCTCTCAGCAAAGGAGAAAAAGTCAAAGGTAAAAAAGAAAAGACTTGCTGTATTAAGGTGGTCCTTTGGGGGATATGTTTTATTAGATGAAGGCAATTTGCAACATACACTCTAAAATTATTAAAGCATTTTCCTTGGTGTGTGTAAAGGAATCATTAAATATTGGCACTGTCTACAAAAATGATTACTGTTCAGCAGAAGCAGGCTGGGCTACTATAAATGGGCGTGGGAAGCTCTTCTAGAGGTTGGATGGTTTCATTCCAAAAATCTTGGGTCTTCTATGGCTGTGCTGCCCACCTGGGCTTGGGCGGAGCTTGGGTGTTGCAGGAAGTATCATGACTATTGGCCATATGGTCAATTTATGAAAATACTTTTTTGAGGGTTTTACGAGCTTATGAACTCATGTTTTGTAGAAAGTTTTTTTTACATTTTTTTATTATTATAAATAATAATAATTATTGTTGTATAAAATCGGCATTTCACAAATCAACATTAAAGCAGAACTCCAGGCAAACTTTTTCTTCACCTTAGCAGTGAAGTGAGAAAGGAAGTCCTATTCCTGAAATGGTGACAAGGGTGTCACCTTCCTGGGTGCACAGTTCAGTAGATTTATTAAAGGGAAGGTGTACATGGCTGATTAAAGCAGAACTCGGCGGGAACTTTTTAACTCTTGCAGTGGGACTACCCCCACACTGCAAGGGTCAAGTGTATGTAACAAGTATAGGACTTGAGGACACCAAGAGATATACAATCGCTGCAGTGGAGGAGGCGGCAGACTGGAGAGAGTGCCGGAGATTCAGGTGAGTATAACTTTTTTTATTTTTGCACCTAGACACAAACAAGCACTTAACCCTTGCAGTGCAGGGCTAGCCTCACTACAAGGGTTAAGAAAAAGATTGCTTTAATACAGGACACATCTCATCCATGACACTCGGTTTACATGGCATCATATGTTTTCTAATAAAAAAAAGACCAGCACTGCTTTCATGCTTGCTGGAAGCTTGGGTATAAGTTACTCATCCAAGCAGTTCCTTCTCTTCTAGAAAATGGAGGGAAGAAGTCCCTTCTGCAAGTTATTCAGCTGCGCGTGTAATCTGATTTCTCCTTCATGTCAGGACTGTTTCAGCACAACACCGCTTGATGTTAGATTCCAGAAAGTTGTTGATTTCCACACCTGCTGGGTGCAAATGATAAATATGAAATATTCAATATGTAATATTTCATATTTACACGACTGAAGAGTTTTAATATATTTAACATACTAATAAACATAATAAAAACATAAAATATATTTACAAAACAGCCTGGCAATAGCTAGCTGCATTCAGCTGGATGTGTTTTGTAATGTTGAACTTGTTTATCCAAGTGGTTTCCTCAGCTCAATTAGTTCACTTGGATGAGCTGCAGACTGTTTACCGTCAGTAGGACACATGTCAGCACCACCAAATTATTATTTGAGTAAAAAAGTATCTTTCCTTCCATAAATTAAAAATAAACCACAGAGTTTGCAAATATTCTTTAAGATCTAAAGCCTAGGCAATGATCACCTGCTCTTTGGTTCCTTTGACCATTGGGGGTGCTTCCTGTCATTACTAACCATAGAGCATAGGTAGGCAAACTCCGGCCCTCCAGCCTAGGCAATGATCACCTGCTCTTAAATTCCTAGGGCCATTGTAGGTGCTTCATGTCATTACTAACTGTAGAGCATGGGTAGACAAACTCCTGCCCTCCAGCCTAGGCAATGATCACCTGCTCTTTGGTTTCTAGGACTATTATGGGTGCGTCCTGTCCTTACTAACCATAGAGCATGGGTAGGCAAACTCTGTGCCTCCAGCGTAGGCAATGATCGCGTGCTCTTTGGTTTCCATGACCATTGTAGGTGCTTCTTGTCATTACTAACTGTAGAGCATGGGTTGGCAATCTCTGACCCTCCAGCCTAGGCAATGATCATATGCTCTTTGGTTCCTAGGACCATTGTAGGTGCTCCCTGTCATTACTAACTGTAGAGAATGAGTAGGCAAACTCCTGCCCCACAGTAGTGGTGGCAGTACAATTCCCATCATGCCTCTGAATTTGGGAGCCATACCTTCAGCTGTAAGAGTCTTTCAATGCCTCATGGGAGTGTTACTTGCACCTCAGCTGCAGGCCAAAGTTTGCCTACACCTGCTGTAGAGTATTGTTTTAGTCAGGCAGGCTAAGTTGGCTAGATTTGCAGGGGAATGGGAGGGACATTTATAGCTGCTTTGCCTGTGTGTATGCAATTAAAAAATATTGTCAGTAAAAAAGGTTTTAAAGATATTAACATTCATTGATAAGATTATTCTATCTGGGGGTTTCCCCTTTCACATTACTTCCTAAGAGTGTAACTTACACATTTACAGTACTTTTCTCAGCATGGCCAACACTGCCATCTAGTGGTAAATATGCTAACAATTATAAGATACAATTCTAGGAACTGATTTTTGTTTCAGACGTTTTCATGACGTAAACGTCATGACAGACGTTTACATCCAGAAAAATAAGAATGGGACGTCCAATGTATCTCGAGGGGTACAAGACACCTGCATCAAATAATCAAACTCACATGCATTTAACTTCACTATGCACCATTTGCTGCAAATCATATAGCTACTATACAAAATATTTAATCATTTGTTATTAAAATGTGTCATTTACACTTCAGTCTGCACAAACTATGATTTTGTAAACAAAACATTTAAATGTCCTCTTCCTCCAGTCTTGAGGTGTTCTGTAGTCTAGAGGTCTGCCCTGGGCCATTGCCTTCAATTAGAGTTTTATCTTTATGAGATTCTTTGTAAGGCTCATTGGTGCCCAAATTAATGCAGACCCTGCAACTTTTGAACATTAAAGCCCAACTGAACCTTTATTATTTATTGTTGTAATGTAGTTAGGCTCCATATATAGTAATAAATGTGGGGATATTTTAAAAGAGTTGTAAAGTCCCAGCATACACTATCCTGTTATAACATCAGCATTGTAATAGGAATACGTACTAGAGTTGTTTTTGATGCAATCAAAGCTTACTAGAATAAAAATCCCTTTCATGTAGTGAGCGCTGCCTTCTCTCTGCCCATCACTTCCAGCAACCTCCTGGATTCCCAGTTTGCTTTGCATCTCTTTCCTAGCTGCTCACAATTTCTCAAGGCTACATATCCCATCATGTATTGCTTCCAGCAAGCAATGACAATGTTACATTGTTCGGACATTGAGTTGTAGTTTAGAAGGCAGGCTCTGTGTGAGTTGTGATACAAGGAAGTTCATGTTTACTGGGCTGAGTGACATTGTGTTAGTGCATTGAGGAAGTCCATGCTATGGGCAACTTTGATAAGTTTACAAACTTCTAGATGGGTATGGTTATAAGACATGGGATACAACTTCTGGAAATTAAGTATATAATTACAGATTTAGATTTTGACCATAGATATCCTTTAATGGTTACAGAGTTACAATAAGCTGTGTCTTTTATGTCTGCCTGCAGTTCAACTTTAAAGTGCCCCTTCCACCACAGGGTCACTTATAATAGAAGGCTAGTCCTGTAAAAGAAGCCCATCTATGGTTACCTTTCCAGCAGCCTGTGTCTTCAAATGCCGTCTTGGACCACTGCAGTTATTCCACACATTCCGATGTGTAATACCTGATGCTTGTATGGCAGGAAGAGCCTTGATGGGGTTGCATTTAACCCCTTCATGACTGAGGCCCTTTTTTCATTTTTTGCACCCATGTTATATTCCACAAAGGCACAGCCTGCTAGAATGGTAAATATAGATTTTTTTTGTTTGTTTTGTGAGCAGTGTTGGCCTTTCTTTAATAGGTGACCCCATGGTGACAAGGTCAGTTTAACACTTTTGTGACCAGTAGGGATGCACTGATAACAATATTAGTAGTGTAGGTGCAGATAACGAGTATTTGGGCGAGTACATGTACTCGCCCAAATGCTCCCGATACTTATCCCGATACCGGAACTTCCGGTTTCAGGAAGCTGGGCGGCGAGTCACTACACGCCGCCCGGCTTCCTGATAGGACAGGAAGCCGGATCCATGCTCCCTTGTCATCAGGGAGTATGGAGCTGGCTTTCCAGACAATCAGAATGCCAGGGGGTGGGTAATGAAGCTGGCCAATCAGAAAGCCAGGCGGCGTGTAATGACTTGCCGCCCGGCTTCTTGATACCTGAAGTTTTTCCTGATTGTCCAGAAAGCCAGCTCCATGCTTCCTCATCACCTGTTGATGAAAGAGCATGGAGTCGGCTTTCCAGTGAATCAGGTAGCCGGGCGGTGTGTAATGACTCTTCTGGAAGCTGGCCAGTCAGGAAGTCGGGTGGCAAGTCATTAAACGCCCCATGGGTTCCTGATTGGCCAGAAAACCGGTGCCATGCTTCTTTGTCACCTGGTGACGAGGGAGCATGAAGCCAGCTTCCTGACTAATCAGAAAGCCGGGTGGTGAGTCATTACACGCCACTTGGCTTCTTTAATATAACTTCCGGTATCAATATTTGGTATCGGCGAGTACCGAAAATTTTTTTAGATACTTGTACTCGATTCCAAAAAAACTATATCAGGATTTCTTTTTGAAGCATAGACGCCCAGTCCAGGTTTAGCAACATTGTATGCCTCAGTTAACTTAACAATAACTGCGTGACTAATTTGATTGGATTGGCAGTGAGTCTGAGAACTAGAAGCGCACACAGTTGAACATTCCTAGTTCTCTGCTGCAAGGTTGTTTTACTGTTCCCGTGTCAAAGGACATTTTATATTAGGACTTTTAACGTTGTATTACAGTCACAAAGGGATTAAAATAGAACTGAAGGCAAAACTTTTTGTTAGTTTTGGATAGAAAAGGCAGGGTTTGAACCACTTGCAGCTTTTGTATTGCCACCTGTGCACCGTTTTTTCTTAATTTCCTGTCCGATAGCCACAACAGGAAGTGAGAGGAAATCCCTCCAAAGTGAAGGAAATCCCTGGTGGTCAGCAGAACTATTGTCCCCATTGGAAGATTTCCCATCTATTCCTGTTCTTGTTACAACCCAAAATCTGGGATTTTCTTTCACTTTCAGTAATGGCCACCAGGACAAGTAAGAGAGGGTGAATCTCCCTAACAGGGACACAGACAGCAATACAAATCTGTCAGGGTTCTAATCCCTCCCCACCATATCCAACACCCAAACAAGGTTTGGGCTTCATACACTTTAAGTAACATGTTTTTAACTAAGTCTGTCTGGTTTAAAGTTCCAGTGCAGACAACATTCATGGCAGTGTCCAGAGCTGTGACGCCATGCAGTTTTCTACTATATTATCTACTTTTTATTATTCAGCAAAGGCAACATCATCTTTTATTTAAAGTAAAAGTAAAGTTTGCATACCTTCATTCTGCTCTATTCATTTAAAGAAGAACCCTGGGAAAAAAACTTACCCTTGCAGTGGGGCTACTGCAAGGGTTAAGTGCTCGTTTTGTCTAGGGGATTCAATAAAGCTCTTTTACTCACCTGATCCTCAGTCCCATGGCGATCGGCACTAACCTCTCTTCCCCTCCGCTCCAGCTGTGGATTGTTCCCTCAGTGTCCTCAAGGCTAATGCAAGTCAATGGACCTGCATAAGACGTGATGTCATCAATGGCCCTTGCACTGCTAGAGCCCAGGGGAGAAGATGCTTTGGGGACCGGTCTAGCAGCCCAGAGGGACCAAGAATCAGGTTAGTACAGGGGTGGGCATCTCCAACCCTCCAGCTGTTTTGGAACTACAAGTCCCAAAAGGCTTTGCAAGACTGACAGTTAAAGGCATGACTCGCAGAGGCATGTATGGATTTGTAGTTAAAGCGCAGCTGGAGGGCTGGAGTTGCCCACCCCTACTTTTTTTTGAGCCCCATAAACAAAATGAGCACTTAAAGTGACATTAAAGGCAAATCTTTTTTTCCACCCTCCCAATTCTAATGTAAGGACTTACCTTAAATGATGCCTCTTGATCTGATTATCATCATCATCATCTTCTTTCCTGCAGTTTTCAGAAGTTCCTCCAGCGCTGGTGCAGGTCTCTTTCTGGCACTTCCTTTCCCACGGAGTCTGTTCGGATGCACGCTGCTCCATTGACTTACCTTGCGTCTCTCCTCGTCTCCCAGCCAAAGATCTGAACTGTGCATGCGCCTGCCCCAAGATCCTTTGCTGCTGCCCGAGAATCTTCAGATCTTCGGACGGGAGTGTGCGGCAAAGACTGGCGCGCACGAGCGGGAAACCGCCTGGATTTTAAATGGCCAGCGATGGCCGTTTACATACAAGCAGTCCAGCGTCTGTAAAGACGCCCGATCGCTTGTATGATGCACCATCGCTGTCCCCCCCGATCCCGGGCGTCCATCCATCCCGGGTGATGTGGCTCTGTGCACTGAGAACGGAGTACGCGAGTTCCCTCCATTCTCCTCCCGGTCTCTGAATGCAGGAAGTGATGTATATTACATCACTTCCGCATTCCTCTGTCACTCTCCGGTACAGAAACCGGAGAGAAGCTGATGAAGCAGATCTGTGCTTCATCAGCTTCTCTGGGGGTCCCTAGGTGACATTAGGGGTCTTAGAGACCCCTGATGTCTCCGTAAAGGAGACCTGTAACTGTAATTTGTTATCACATAGCGCACTTTTTAGCACCCTATGTGATAACAATAAAGTTAAGTGTAAAAAAAGTAAAAAAAAAAAATGCTCACAAAATAAATACAAATTTACACACACAAAACAAAAAAAACCCCACAAAATGTTTTAAAGTCCCCCACATGGATGCGCAAAAAATGCGTTAGATGCGCCTACACGCCAAAACGGCGATTGCTCTAATTATGCGGGCACGCGTTACATATCGCCGCAAACGTCGCAATGAGAGCAATAATTATCGGGCCATTAATCACTGATAACACTTAACTGATGAGCTGTAAAATCTTGTAAAGCGTCGTCTATGGGCAATTTTGGCTATGGTGTTTCTTTTTGCGATTTTGTGGCCGCGTGCAATTTTAAGGCTTGACATGTTTGGTGTCTATTTATCCGACGTGACTCCGCCTTTTATATTTTACCAAAAAATTGGGTAAAAATTAATGTTTCCTAAAATAATAAAGGGAAAACCATTTGAAAAAAAATATTCTGTACTTTTTTATACACCCAGTGGTGAATAAATACCACCAAAAGAAAGCACTATGCGTCTCCAAAAAATGGTATACAATTAGTTTTAGTACAGCATTGCATGACGGAATAAATGTCAGCCAAAGTACTGCAGCGCTGAATACTGAAAAATGGCCTGGACAGGAAGGGGGTGTAAACACCCCGGTCAGCAAGTGGTTAAAACCTTTTTTTTTTAACTTTTTTGTTTTTTTAAATGTTTTTGCATATATCTACTGCTTCCTAGCTTTGGATATATGCAAAATAATGCGTGGGTTTAATAATCCTTTAATTCTTGCAGGGTGTGGGTAGTCTACTGCAAGGGAAAGGTTTTGATTTTCTCAGAGTTGTTCTTTAATCTTGCTTTAAAACTAACAGATTGACTTGAGCAATACCCTTTTGTGTTTTCCAGTTCTCAGTGTGGGCGAAGGAGGATTCTGGGAAGGAAATGCCAGAGGTCGCAATGGATGGTTCCCTTCAGACTGCGTGGAGGAAATTCCAACAAAACCCCAAGAAGGAAAACAAGGTACCAGAAGGTTCTCATTTTAAAGATATTCTTCGATTTATTAAGTGTCTAATGAGCTGAAACAAGCAGAAGCAGGAAATATTTCAGGGTCTTCGGTCCGCTCACAGAAATGCAACGTCTGCACTAATAGAGAGCCATTAAAACACACACACATTGCTCATTTGGGGGGGCTGTGACTCCTTTGAAACCAAATCCCACTTTACTTCATAACCGTCCCTGTTTTTGGTCTGGCTGGTATAAAGAAATATACTATTTAGCCCTTTGCGTTCCGGAGCAATATCTTAATTTTTGCACTACATTTTTGGCTAGAAAATTATTTAAAACTCCCAGACAATTATATATTTTCCAAAAGAAGAGGTCCTGTAGAATATGAAAACAATGCTAGTTGTAATTTTTTATTTTGAACAATATTTGCGCAAATGTTTATCAAATTATTAGTTTTAGCAACAATACACTAAAATTAATTTGTGTTCACAAACACAATATAATAGCCAATTTTTTTGTTAAAATATAAAAAAAGGGTTGTGTCTGATAAATCAATACCAAACATGTCAAGCCTTAAAATTAAGCATGCTTGTGAAATGGCAAAAAAGGACGGTACACAAAACTGGCCATGAGCAACATTTGAAACAGCGTTGTCCTTCCTGGCTGCTGGACTGCAGAACTTTGCTATCCCCACCTCTCTTTGTCCCACTCCATGTGCATGCATTGGTTTATTTCCCAGCAAAACAATGATGGTGCCTCGAATCCCAAGATCCTGCCCCCACACCATACTTAGGGACATGGCTCTTGGTAAATGTAGTTCTGGGGGCGTGCTTACATTAAAAGAAGTTGGGCTCCCTGCTGCTGTTTCTGGAAGTATTTTGCAAACCTGGTGAAGATGCGGAACGGAACAAAAACAGATACAATCACAACAGAACGGAAGTAAAAAAACTAAAAACAAAAACACGTTTGTCCAGGTCATTTTAATTCAAAAATAAAGATTAAAAAAAAAGAGAAAATGGAACGGAAGTCAACGGAGGTTGAAACTGCAAGTCCTGAATAGGTTCTCACTCTACCACTGCCCTGCACCCTTGTGTGAGCTCCAAGCTGATTTGCTCGTAGCTTACAATGGTAACAAAATACAATGGCATTGCTGGACACCACGTATTCTAGTTAAACAAGTCAAGTCAGACGCACTTTCTAGCAATAGGAGCAGCCACATGAATCCTGGCACCATTCTGTGAACACAAAGTCTAATTAATTAATTATAGTTAAATGAAGGAAGCGCTACAGAACTGTGATTAATTACCACTTATTCTACATATATAAGTGCCTGGATGTAAATGTGGAGTGCAAATTAAAAGAGGGAGATGGACAAAATGCAGGGACACAGAGCAGCGCACAGAGCAGAGAAACCAGGCATGCACCCAGGGGCGTAACTAGAAATCACAGGGCCCCATAGCAATATTTTGTATGGGGCCCTGTGATTTCTAGTTATGCCACTTGCAGAGCCCACCTGATATACCAAACAGCCCACCTGAGAGTGACCCTGCAGAGCCCACCATAGACTCTCTATAGTGGGCTCTGCAGGGTCTCAGATGGCCTGCACACCTCTTACCCGACAGTGCTGTCTGACCCCGTGGTCCCCGGGCCCCGCTTCCTCTTCTATCGACAGGCCCCGCCTGCTCTTAGGTCGCTGGCCAGTGATGTAAGAGGAGGCAGGCTTGCTCTTAGGTTGGCCCCGCCTCCTCCTTCACTGCGAATGCCGGCCTCTTCTGCCACAGCTGCTGGCTGTCACTGACACAGCTCCGCAGCAGCTGTGAGGGGAAATCAGTGATCTTCACAGCCGCTGCTGAGCTGTGTCAGTGACAGCCAGCACCCTTACATGCCATAGCGACCCACACGGCATCAGAGGGATGCCCTGGCCGGGCCCCCCTGTGCCCGGGCCCCATAGCGGCCGCCTGGGTTGCTATGGCAGTTGTTACGCCACTGCATGCACCGCAGTTTCAGCTGAAACATGGCACTTTTGGCATTTTGACAAAAGTGCCATCTTCAGCCGATATGTTTCGGCGGCCAAAATGTCAGTGCATCTCTAGTGAATAGGCCGTAAGGGTTCATTCACATTATAGTGCATCTGGTAGTGTAAGCACTATGGGCATGCCCTGACATGCATCTTTAATTTGCTTCCTGCTGCACTACAATGCATTATTAAAGGCTTTTGCAAAAATTCATAAATACACCCACACTGATTCGAAAAAAGTAAATATTTTAATTGTTTTGCATTGAAGCCTGCATAGCATTGCATCCATGTTTAACCACTTCCCGACCGGCCGTTGTAAAAAAACGGCCGGCCAGGAGCTCTCTAGATCTGAGTGGGCGTCTTTAGACGTCCGCTCAGCCAAGCCCCCTCGCACGCGTGAGCGGGAAATTCCTGTTATTTGAAAGCAGGCAGCGATGCCCGTTAATATACAAGCGATCCGCCGGCTAAGAAAAAAAAATAAGGTTTCCCCCCAAAAAATGTAAAGTTACAAATAAAAAGGAATGAATGAGAGCAATAGTTCTATGGCCATCAATCACTGATAACACTAAACTGATGAGCTGTAAAAGCTTTTAAAGCATCGCTTATTGTCAATTTTGGGTATGGTAGTTTTTTGCGATTTTGCGGGTGCGCGCAATTTTAAAGCATGACATGTTTGGTGTCTATTTACCCGGCGTTACCGCATTTTTTATATTTTACCAAAAATATGGGTAATAATTATTGTTTCCTAACATAATGGAAAATAAAACGTTTTTTCCCCAAACATTTCAATCATTTTTCCTTAATATAGTAAAAAATAAAAACCCCAGTGGTGAATAAATACCACCAAAAGAAAGCTCTATCTGTCCACAAAAAATGGTATAAAATGCATTTCAGTACAGCGTTGCATGACGGAATAAATGTCAGTCAAAGTACCGCAGCGCTGAATACTGAAAAATGGCCTGGCCAGGAAGGGGGTCTAAACACCTGGTCTTGAAGTGGTTAATGATCAATATTTAGACTCCTGTAGGCTACTCCCCAACCCAGGTCATTAGCCCAGGTCCATACCAAGGTCCGAAATGCATTGGCTGACTAATGTTATCCTTTTGCCATTTACAGAACCAGTAAAATACATTTCCGAACTCTTAAAACTTTGGCACTTCTTTGGCACTTCTTTTGTACTTTTGCACTTCTTCCTTGACTAAATACAGATCTCCTAAGCAGGGTGACCCCTGTATTCAGGGAGAACCCCGTTTTTGTGGGTAGCAGCCAATCCCAGGCCACTCGGTCCAAACTAATATCCTTCACCTAACAGCTATAGATCTGGTCCAGCAGTGGCGTATCCAGAGTTATGGGCGCCCGGGGCAGAACATTACCCCCCCCCCCCCGCC